CGACGTGCTCGGCCTGCGGGAAGACATTCTTCTTCGTCGCGCTGGCCCGCCCGCGTCGGCCAGAGGACTCGCCGCCTCCGCCTCCCAAGTCGGGCGCGCGCGCGGGGGCGCTGGGGCGATCTCGCCCGTCGGCGCGGCCGTGGCCTCATCTGCCAAGTCATCGAAGGCACCCCGTTGCCTCGGGTCGTTCGCATGTCGCCGCTCGTCGCGGAATGCGGCCCTCTTCTTCGACCTCTCGCCGCCCGCCTGAGGCAGGGCAGACGGGCGAGGCGAGGCCTTGCGAACTGCCCGCGGGTGCCGCGAGGTCCTGGCGCCACTGGCCGTCGTCGCCGCTGCTGGTGTCCAGCACGAGGCCCACTGGGGCCCCCCGTGGGGCCAGTGGCTCAGCGCGCAGCGCGGCGTTCTCCTCGCAGCTCCGCGAGCAGTGGACATGGTCGCTGAGCAACGTGCCGTTGGCCGTCGCGCGCGCGGCGGCCGCGTCGGGCTCGCCTGCCGCGACGTCGATCGCGCTGACGTGCTCGGGGGCCTTCAGCGCGCCGGCTGGCGCGTTCACTTCGCCAGCGATGACCCGCGGGTCGGGCGGTGCCAGGGGGGTCGACCCGGGGGCCTGAGCCTGGAGATATTGACGCCCCCCGTCCTGTCACCTGGCATCGCGGGCACCGCGATGTCGACGACTTTGCCGCGTCGACGGCGCGGGGTCACGCGGCAGGATCGAAGAGGCTGCTTGGTTCATGGGGCCCATGAGGTGGCTCCCAGGTGGCGCAGCGCTGCTGTGTCATCGGCAACGCGCGCGCGCGAACAGCCGAGCGTCGCGCCTCTGCCTCTCTGGCGTCCCAGAGCCTCTGGGCGCCATTCAATGATGTCCCAGAAAAAGGGGCGTCGGACTTGCCTGCCCTTCCTGGCTTGTCCGCGAGGGCCCGCGGCGACGGTCTCAAGCGAGAAAAATGCCCGCGCCCGTGCTAGACAGGGCAGCGACTCGTCGCAGCTGGCGGCAGCTGCGACGGCCGATTGAACGTTGCAGGGCGCTGTCTTCTCCAGGCGCACGTTGGCGCCGATTGTGCATGCGATCGAATGGGCGGAGTTGCCGACTCTGCGTTGGTCGCTGTCGAGCTATACCAGCGAATGCGGAGGTGCGCTTCCAGAGGCGCATGTCCGAGCGTCGCGAGGTCGACGCGCGCTCGGGGGCGCGCGCAGGCCATTTTGGTGCAAGGCGCGACGACCGCCCAATCGCGTATTTCTGGAAACATCGCAACTCCGAGCGCTGGGCGAAGTCGCCAGAGGCTCCCCCCCTTGGCCGGCGCTCCGAAAATCGCCCCTGCTAGGTCCGGGTATGTCATGAAACCCAAAAGCATGCCCGTGCTTAGCCGAGGTGTCCGAGAACCGCCCCTACTCGGTCTGGGTGCGCGTGCTGGTTCAGGCGCGCGCCCGCGCCCGGCCGAGGTGGCGGCGCGCCCGAAAACGCTCTCGAACACATCTCGCGCTCCCAGGGGCCGCCCCCGACGCGGCCCCTGGGGGGCGTCGCTCCTCAAGGCATACCCATACGCAGTGACTGCTAGGAAGTGAGGAGATGCCCTTTGGCGTCACCGCCCCCATGCAGCTTCGATCCGCGCGTGCGCCGCGATGCCCCCGGAAGCCCTTAGCGAAAATCAGCGCTTGTCGCTGCAGTCGGACAGGCAACCAACCAACGCGCCAGTGCGTCTGGGCGCGCGGATGCCGCGCTAGCGCGCAGGGCAAGCTGATCGGGCGCAATGGCGAGCGCCCAGTTCCACGAGCGACTCATCTCGCCCTGGCTGACCCCGGTTTCGGGCGCGTTTGAAACAAATGAGATGGGGGGCTCGGAAGCCCGCGCGTCGGCCGACCGCCCGCCCAGAATCGCTGGCCCGTCCTAAAAAACGGCCGCCCGCGGTGCGGCAAAACAACCTCCACTTCCTCGTCCCAGAGCAGCGGGCCTGGGGCCCTGGGCTGCTCTGCTGTCGGGTGCAGCGCTCCGACCGTCTGCGGCCCTGGCGGAGGCTTCGCCGGGCGGGGGCGCTCGGCCGCCTGCGCGCGCGGCCCTTGTGCTCTGGCCCGTCTCTCCCGTCCGCGCCTCTTGGTCCGCCGTTGAGGAACGCCTCGGCGCCCGCGGCTTCACCGCCCGAGATGTCGGCGGCCTCGGACAAGAGCTGCGCGATGCAGAACGGATCGTCGCCAACCGACGTGCGCGGCGCCCCGTCCTGGGAATCTTGCGCCGAAGCCCTCGGCGAGAATCTGCGCCGCTCGGCCACCCCCGTCGCGCGTTTCTTGGCGCCCCGCATGGAATGCGTCGAGCTCTCGCTTCTTGCGCTGTACTACCTGCGCGCCGCCGGCCATGTCGCCGGGGCGGGGCCCACTAGTGCCGCCTGCGGAGCGCCCGGCTGTCCCGCGCCTGCTTTCAAACATGCTGGTTGAGACGTCGGGTCCGAAAAGTGACGTGCCTGTCTGGGTGGGGGGTCGTTCGTTCCCTGCCTGCTTTTCTCCCGCGCGGCTAATGTGGGGGCGCGGGTGTCTAAGTGCCAGCAGAGGAGGCAACGCCCGGGCCAGCAGTCGCCCGAGCCGCCGCCGCAGCCCTTGGACGAGCGCCCCGACGCCGCATGCGATTCGGTCAGCGAGGCGGCGAGGGCCTTGACGTCGCCGTCGTCCTGTATGTCGGTGTCGCCGTCCGGCTCCACTGGCGGCTCCTCGGGCTCGGCGGGCGCAAGCATTGCGGGTGGGCTCCCGCCGCGCCTGCCGGCGGCGCGCTAGGGGTGGGCGAGAACCGCGAACGGTGGCACGGGGTCCGCCGTCTCGCGCTTCTTCCGTGCCTCCTTGACGGCCTCGACCCTCTGCTTCCCGAGCGCCCGCACCTGAGCCTTCTGCTTGGCCGACCCCTCTGGCTCGTCGGAATCAAGCACCGCGATGGTCCCGGCGGTGGTGGGAGCCTGGCGGCCAGCCTTGATGCTTTGAGCCTCCATCGCACGCTGCTTCTTCAAGCGCGCGCGAGCTAAGGCCATGGCTGCGTCGTGGTGGGCCCTTCTGGTGTCGCCCCTCTTTCAGCGTCGACGAAGGCGGCGGTGGTTTTTGTCGAAAGCCCGGAGGGCGTGGTCCTCCTTGCCCACTCGCCGACCGCGGAGTCAGCGACGGCATTTTCGTAGGAGGTAGCGCGCTTTTGGACGAGAGGGAACCCGCTGCGGACAAGAGAGGTTCTACCTGAATAGGGCCTGCGCCCTTGGGCACCTTCGGCTTGCAGATCTCGTCCAAGCTACTCGTACGTCAAGGCGCCCTCACAACAACGCATTTGCCGCCCTTGTCGCCTTTCGGCCTGGCTTTGCCACCGCCGTTCGTGCAGCCTTTGCCTCCGCCCGCATTGCCGCCGTCGGATGTGCCCGAAACCTGGACGCCGTCGGGGGTTTGCGTGGCGCCCGCGCCAGTATCAGGAGGGAAAAAACACACACAGACACAATGAATCGGCGATTCCTTAGAACATATGGAAAATATAGGGAATCTTTTTATTTGTGTGTATTTTTTTGTCTGTCCCGGTTCCCCTTCACAGTAGCACCAGGGAGTATTGGCGACGTTCCAGCAATGCGTGCAACAGGTGCACATGTCGAACTGTTGGCCACCCCACTTCTTGCCACTCGCCATGCTGCCTCCGCACGCGGGCGCTCGTCAGGTGGATGGGCTGCTCACCCGTGGTTCGCTGGAGGCAGGCAGCAGCTCGGGCGGGCCAGCTGCTACGAGAAGACGGAATCTGCCTCGGCTCGATGGCATCCGCTCGCGACGCAAGCGCAGCGAACATCTCGAGCCACACTGTCGACGGAAGGAGGAAGGCGAGGAGGATCAGGGCGAAGAGGAGGACGAGGACGAGGACGAGGAGGAGGAGGAGGAGGAGGAGGAGGAGGACGAAGGCCAGAAAGAAGGAGGGAAACAGTGATCCCCGGCTCGGCTCGGCGGGCCCCCCGGGCCTGCTGATATCCGCACTCGCCGCGCCGCCGCACCCCGAGCACTTCGACTTCTCCCGAACAGGGCAGCAACGGATTGGCCCGCCAGCGTTGGGTACAAAGCATCTGGGTATGATGCCCACCAGCGCATGTTGTCCAACATCGATCGTGTCTCACACGGTCGAGGCCCACGGCGACACATACAGCGAATCCTGACAACAAGTGGGCAGGAACTGCTGCTTGTCTCAATTCGCATCCTCGCCTTCCTTTCTCTTCCTCCTGCATCGTCTCGCTCCTCTCTCACTCCGCCTCCCTACTCCTCCCTGCCCTCACCCTGGCTGAAAGGTGCCCGAAACCGCAACGCAGCCAGCCCTACACGCGCGGCCGTGCCCCTTGTATGGCCACACGTGTGCGGGTTCGCCCAATGTCTTGTTTTTCATGCATCGTCGCTCCTTGAGACGGACGGATACGTGTCGACATCAACACAACATATGTATCCTGGTAAAACGTGACCCTCCTGGACAATTCTACGGAAGGTCATGCTCCCCCAGCTCTCGAGGCCACCCTCATGTCACAAACGCTCGCGCCATGAACTCTCTCGAGACCCACGTGCATGTATGCACTACGCGTACGTCATGTCTCGCTCCAGATCTCGGGAATAGAGTACCACACTATCTCATGGGACAGCTCACGCGCCACCGAGAGAGAACGTGAAGCCTGCTGAATCCGACTGGACTGTCCAGACCGCGACCCTACTCTGTGTTCGTCTGGCCCGGGTCCAACCTGAAATTATGTGTGATTGGAAGGAGGGTTGCGCCAGCTTCTGATGCACGGGACGATCCTCTGGTCTGTCTTCGAGGATCTATACTTTCGGAGGTCCGCGCGGATCTCTCGGATCGGTGATGGACCCTCCTCCCTGGCGCGCGGAACGCGCAAAGGGCGGCGCCAGAGGTGCCGCTGGGGTTGCCCAGCGTCGATCCAAGAAATCCGCGCGGACCTCCGACGGTTCATGTGCACGTGATCTGTCAGCCGGTCTGGGCCCCCCCCTTCTCAAACGGCAGCGGCCCGCCTCGCACTCGGGCTCGTCGTCCAGATCCACGGCCTCGAGGGAGGGAGATGCCAGGAGGCCCAACCGAAAGGGAAACGTAAAGAACATGCGTGCACGATGGCGTGCGTATCTCCCGGCGTCGCAAACAAAACGGCATGAGCCGAAACTTTTTGGAGCTCTGGGCGGATGTCTTAGGTCGGGACTGGACCCCCACCCTGGCGCGCGGAGAGTTCGAGGGGCGGCGCCAGAGGCGCCGCCAGGGGCCGATCCAAAGCATCCACGCGGAGCTCCCACAATTAATGTTTACGCGGCTTTCCATTTCCGAATCTTGTAATTACAGCGCATGGTAATTATCTATATCCGCCAGTGTGCCATGGAGGCACAAGTTGGCGCGTCGTCAGATTCCTTGTTGGATCCCCTGCAGTCTCACTCTTCAATCCTGGAGATTCTGTACGGCCCCAAGGAATTGCCGAACCTTCTGGGGCTTGCCGCGGTTCCCCGTGAGCGCGTCGCGGCTTGTCGCGTGACCTCTTCGGACACAAGAGGGCCTCAAGACGGGTCCAGAAGGCCCCAGCAAACGGTCCAATATCAAAGACGCGTAACATGGCCCCAAAACGGCCAAATAAGCCTTAGAGACGCCCCTTGGGCCCTCCCAAAAGGGCCTGCAGAGGACAATCTCCTTGCTCGTCATCCAACTGTTTCTGAACATTTTGTGGTTTTGGCACTTTCGAACTTCCGCTGGTCCAAGTGGCGCCGGAGGGGCCCAAAACGGCCAAAACGTTTAAAACTGCTTGGGAAGCCACACCAAATTCTTCGCCTGAGCCGACGCATTCGCCCAACTCTGTTGTACCGTATCAACGATAGTCCCAGAAGTACGAAAGAACCGCGTGAGCGGCGTACATCTCAAGAGCCAAGGGTATAACCTTTCCTGTCTCGATGTATGGTAGCGGGCCGCGGTGCGGCCTGGTCAAATAGGCGGCCGGTCGCGTGGGCCATGCAAATGGCCGGGGATACCAGCACGCACCCGCATCTACGGTTCCTCCTTCAGAATCAGGGGGGGAAGACACTGAATGATACTGGAGTGCGCTGATCCACTTATGTCATGGATGTTTAGGGCAATGCCTTCAGCTTCATAATTCGCCGGCCCAACGGGCCAGAGGCGTGCTAAGGTTCCCGGCAACTACTTAACAATATTTCTAGTTCGCGCGCGCGGGGCGGCCCCTGGGGGCCCCCCGACGAAAAATACCCCGGCTGATCCCCGGTTGATCCCCGGCCAGGCCTGGCCGGGTCCCGGGCGATCCCCAGAGGGGGAAGCTATTTTTCGTCACCCCTCACGAGGATCGTGGCCCCCGAAGGGGTGGCTGCAATCGACTACTCCCCCTCCCGCCCCAAGGGGCCCCCAAGAGCCCCCTAAGAGGCCCCAGGGGAGCCCGAGACGCCGACAAGGAGCCCCAAGACGCTCCCAAGAAGCCCCCAAGAGGCTCCCAAGACGGCCCCAAGAGGCCCCAAATACCGCTCCAGGGCCGGCGGAATGAGCGAAGCGATTGAATAATGGAAGCCTGGGTTCACGTCGGTGTCATAGTGCGCCAGCGCACGACTGTCAGCGTACGTTACCGGAGGTAGCACGTGAATGCTCTCAGCTAACCGAACTAAAACAACGTTTTCGATGCGGGAAGAGTTCCTGATACTATACTGGAGAGCTAAGCGCACCTTTGGAGACAGTCGGCTCGCACTCGTCATCTGGAGTACTCCTTTTCTGGTTGGGAGATAACCGAAAGTCGTTGCAAGTCGCCCCGCAGGTAGACTGGCCATGACTGCCAATGCAATCCGTAATACTGCGCTGTCCGAGCCAATGCGTCGAGCGACCAGAGCCTCGGTGTACAGCGAGTGTCTTGCATCGCCGTGCTGGACTAGTGCATCGTCATTCCCAACGCGCACGTTAATTTGCCCCCTATCAGGATCGTTCCGCGCGGCCGGGAAGGGTCCAGTCCAGCCGCCCCAATCGTCTTCCGTTGTCGTGGGGCGATGTTGGTCAACCAGACCTCCTTCGTTGAAATAAATATGACCAGCGATGGTCGTCTTAGATCGTAGTGCGCGGTTTGTCTTTGCTATCGCAGTGGTTTGTGTAATTGCCTCAATGCTCACCCCGCGGGCGATCTGTTTTCGAGAGTGATCGGATGTCTCCGTCTGTTGTTCATGATCTCGAACAAGCAAGTCAAGTAGCATTGCTGGCTGTCGGCCAAACAGTGCGTTATAGGGTGACACCTCATTGTAAAAAGTGAGCGCATTGTCGGCAAACGGCGCCTTATGCAGTAGTCGGGTAAACACAAGTGGTATGTTTAACCAATTGAGTCCAGCCTCAATGATGACGTGAAGTGAGTGCCGTAGTCTGCCACTTCTGGGTTCAATGGTAGTAGCGTGTTGTCCACGCGCGCGCATCTTTTGATCGGTGCCTTTTGCCTCGAGGACTGCCTCGGCAGTGCCATTATGGAGGGTGCCCTCTCCGTCGGAGTATAGCAATGGGGCAGGTCCGCGTTGCATCCAGCACTGATGGTGCGCATCTAGGATGCTGGTCATGGTTTTGTCACATCTTAGGATCCTTGGCGTGGAGCCATCGCAGATGTAGTTCTCGCAACTCGCGCGTTGGGTCAAGGCTGCACAGGTTCTGTAGGCTGATCTGCGCGTCAAATCTTGACCAGTCTGGAAGCCTCGGACGAGCAGCAGGGTCACCCGCAGGTGGTGGTGGGGGTGGATCACCACCCTGTTGCCGTCCACGTCTGGCTACTACTTGTGGTGGGCGTCTGCGGTCGTCTGAGCTGCCGGCGCCGCTTGAGGCAGGTTGCCCCGCAATCGGTTCTGCAGCATGTCTGCCTACTGTAATGTCGCGGCTGCTGGCACCTGAAGTCGGCCCAGCTCTGGCGCCAGGTTTCGGAGCTCGCAGCCGCGCAACTTGTTTGGCGGCTGGCGCCTCCGAAGCAGCTGCCGCCGCTGATGGTGGTGCGTCGGAAGCAGCTGCCGCCGCAGGTGGTGGGGCCTCAGGTTCAGCAGGGGCTGCGAGGCCCCTGCCCGTGGCCATCGGGCATCTTCCACGGTTCGGCAAACTTGCATTCGCCAAGTGTAAGTACGCGGCCAGGCTTGACCCTTCCATAGTTCTTTGGGCAGTTTGAATAATTCCCCCCCCCGAAAAACATCTTTGTCGTGCCGCCTACACTGTTTGAGGTTCTGCTGTGAGATGGGGAGTGCGCGTTGACGTTGCCAGCGCATGCAGGGCACCCCCCATCAGCCTGGTGGTCCGTCAGGATGTAGAAATATCGCTGGGTCATCCAAGTCGACCCCGCGTGCGTTCGTGACGAGAGCAGGCGACGCATGGGGATGATCATGAGGGGTCGCGGATGCCCGCGAATATGTCATGTGCAATTTGAACTGCCTCAACGAAGAGGGCTTGCGTCTTCGGGGTATACTGTGCTGCCTCGGCAAAGTCCTTGTTGCAGACTGAGGCATGTTAGCGATGGCCAGTGCGCCGTTTGTTATCAAAGACTGCCAGTAGTGAACGGCGATTAGCCACAATTTCAATAGGCTTGCGCATGCATCTGCCATGGGGGTCTATGCTGATCTTGCGGGCGCCCTCGCGCTTAGCTAGTGTCGTCCGGGGCCGTATTTCATCTACCCCTGGTTGTTCTCGAAAAAAGAGTCGTCGGATACCGTCCTGATGTGCGGCGACCCTCCCACGTGACTTGATGTGTGGGAGGCTCCTTCTGATGTTCATGCCACATGTCGTAGTGACCTTCGCATTGCAGTGGAGGGTTGTCCAATAGTTCTGCAATTAGGTTGTAGGGTGACAACCTTCACAAATCATGCATCCAAGTAATGCGCGACTGCATCCTGGACTTCTTTGTTGCCAAGGTCAACGAAACGCCGTTTGTCGAGGTTGCCCCCTGAAGATAGATCTCGGCCGAATGCGAATTGTGATATTCCCCCGTTACCTCCGCATAGTTCCAGCATGTCTACCTTTCTGTTTCGTCCGTAGCACAAGGTTGGAATTATGGGAAACACATCGGCGCGTGTGTCAGCAGGTAACCCCGCTGGTGGCGTCACGAAGGTTTCCTCATCTTCATCGCTGTCGGAGCCCAGAGGAACATCAGTGTAGTGTGCTCCGCATCCAAGGCCCTTCCCTCGCCGCAATCGTCATTGCCGTCTTCGACCTGTCTGGGTATCTTGCGTGGTTTGATGCCGGCTTCTTTGTCAGCCATCTGCTTTTCCCTGTTTTATCCGGGCATCAGTAGGTTGTGCTGTCTGTTGTTGCTCATTGTCGGGCATTGTGAATGTCGGAAATTCTGGAGCGGGGGGTAGCGCGCTGCCGCGCTCAAACGAGGGGGGGGGAAGACAATCGCCATCGACGGTCGCAGCCTGCTTTGGGAGTGGTCGATACCCTTCATCGCTGAGCAGGGCTGGAGCCGGAGGCCCCCAGTACAGTCGAGTACTGATGTTGGTCACTCCACTCGGCAATGGAGCCGTCCAGTTGTATCCGATAAGTTGATCCTGAAGCGGGATTTCCTGTGTGATAGTGGTGTCGTCGAGGTTCGTCGTGACCCGGCGTGCCACATGGTCCCATTCAGGGCCATTCTTGGGAGACTGGACGTATGTCCGAGCTCCTTTCTTTGTTCGAATGTGTGCGCTGAGATGTGCAACGCGTCTATCGTGCATTCATGTGGTCAACCAATCGCGCAGTCATGATAGCGATTGTTTGGTTCGGCCATGCTGCCCTCTGGCTGCCTTGGCCGTGCCAATCAAATTCATGTTCTGCTCTTTCGGCTGGTTTCCCCGCAACTCGGCGCGTGCATATCCGTAGGTTGGCTGGAATGCGCGCGCATGTTGTTGCCACCTGTAAGTGCGAACCACTCGGCAAACGACTCGAGCGATCGTACTTGGAAACGACGTGACAACATCGCATTCGCATGACTTGCAGGTCTAAGTCGTCGATGGCACCGCACATTGGCTCCAGTTTCCGAAAGTTACCTGGGGCCCCATAAGCGCGATAGGCATGCGTCAGGCCCGAGCTTTGACCATCGGATTCTGGGTGCGTTGATAATGCGGCCGCGCCCGTTGACCAGGCAACCGCGCGTGCCTATCGGCGGGCGTTGCCACCCGTGGCAAGTGGTAATCCCCCGACAATAGACGACCAGAGCAGTTGCGTGCCTGTGGAAGTCATGACCTCTCTGTGTGATGCGATCGCACATGCATCCGCGGGCTCGGGGTTCAGCGCGAGCTGCTCGTGCATCCTCGATGACAAGAGCACGATCATGATATTGATGAGATGAACAATATTTCCCCGCATCGGCCACGCAGCCGGGTCTGCTGCCGCCCCGGGCGCGCGCAGCCGACGCCGGGGAAAAGTATGCGGGTGCCCCCGCGCCTGTGGACAGCACCTCAGGTGTCGGCCTGTCCAGGCAAACGCGCGCGGCCGTAACGCGCGCCTGCCCCCTTCGCTCGTTCTCAAGCGTAGGGGGCGTGCACGTGGCCACCTGGCTCGGGTCCGTGCCTGGGATGTAGTCCGCGGAGTCGCCCGGTGTCATCGGCGGCGCGCTGTTCGAGGTGTGGATGTCATATCTCTCGGCAGCGCCGCTCGATGCAGCAGGTTGTCCCGCGGTAGCACTTTGCCCCGCGCGGCTGTCAGTTGGCGCCCACCTGCCGCCCTCGTTATAGAATGCCTGGTAAGCCTTCGACGGCAAGGCCCTCGCGGCGAAGTCCAGATCCATGACCGTAGGCTTGCTATGCGGAATTCCTCCGCCGCCGGGTCTTCAGGGCGTTGTCTACCATGGGCTGTGTCGCGAAGACAAATGTAGCCCCACTGATGTTGTGGCTAATGTGCCTGGTGTTCTGGGACGGCACAAATCGGCTCTGCATCTACAGTCCCCATGGCGACGTGCCGCAGGAGTGCCCCCTCGCATCTGGGATTGGCCGCAATGGTGAATGCTGCAGTTCCGTCGGCCCCCGTTGCCGCGTCGGAGTCATGGGCCTAGATCGCGAGGTGAACTGATGGCGTTTTTATCAACTCAATCACCCTAGCGCCCTTTCCAAGGAGAAGCCCGTGCATGTTCGCGCCTGGGATGACCATCTTTTCGTTGCCTGTGTCAAAGATTAAGATGGCACGCATGTTTGCCATGCTCCTCAGGCCGGGATTGCGGGCAGGTTCTCGCCGGACCCCTCGGCCACCTTGGCTGAATATGTGCCCAGCTTGGCCGTGTCAGGTTGCCCCGCAGGGTTGTCCCCATGTAATTCTGCAATGCCCTGATGACCTGCGCGCTGCAGCTCCAGCGCCCACTTCGGTCCCGTACAGTGGTCTAATTAGATTCAATCTCTTTGCATCGTGACCATGCGAGCGCGAAGCCCGCTCAAATGTCGGAGCAGTTTTCAGACCAATGGTTTTAATGCCGTTACCAATGTCCAACAAGATAATCAGCGTTCCATCGATCGTGGCCCCGCTGTTCGCTGCTAGGGCAAACTAATGACGATCGCCAAATATGCATTGGACGGTGGGAACTCGTTATGCCGTGTGCCTTTATGGCGCCTTCGATCCAATGCCCACTCATTCTTATTCATAGAGGTGAATGCGGTCATATGCCCGGCTTTCCTCTTCAGTGATTGGCATTGCTGGAGGATTTAATCAGTAAGGTATTCCCCCTATCTATATGGGTACTTTTGAGTAAGTGGGACGTTATCAAAGGTGTCCTCGATGGCGCGCGCTGCGTTCTGGCTGTCCACGTTGACCGTCGGCACCGCCTGCAGCACGTCGCGCTCGGACATGCCACTGGCGCAACTGCGCGCGCTGAAGGGGCTGTCAGTCCGGCGCGAGCGTTGCGGGCTACCCCGCGCCCTGCCATGCGGCATGTTAGCTCCGACCATGCGCCTGGGACGCGCCTCGTTAGCAGGTAACCCCGCAGGTGGCGATGTAGCAGGTGTCCCTGCGGAAGCAGCTGGCTCAGCTATCAACGGCATCTGCGCGTCTGCGGTGGGTATCGTTGCTGCTGGGTTTGGCCATGTGCATGGCGGTGCAGCAGGTTGCCCCGCAGGTATCGCGGGTGCCCCCGCTGGCGTCGCAGACCCCGCCATCATGGCCGTGATCCTCTTGAATTTTTCACGAAGGTCCATGAGGTCATTGGCCCCGCGGAGTATCTCCTCGTGTCGGTTCTCCGCATCTTGCTCACCCGCAAGGGCGCGTAGTGAAACTCAGCTGTGATAGGTCCCGCGCCTCGGCATGCGGCGCACGGTGCCTCGTCGGGGGCACCCTCCAGCTGCCTGCCCACATGTGACTGGGCCACTCGGTCCCAACAGGTTGCGTGAAAGATGTGGCCGCCATGGAGCCTCCACACCTTATCGCGGCATGCACGCTCTTCAAAGCAAATGGAACATTTCGCTAAGCCACCGTCATTAGCGATCGGTGGCGTAGCTGATGGCCTTGAGCGCATTTGCCGCTCGAGTGTAGTCCCGCCTATTGCGCAGCGGCTCGGTGGGGCTCATTGGCGCAATAGCAACTGGCCCCGCAACCGCGGGCCCCATGGCGAGCAGCGCTGAGAGACACATAGCGGGTTGCCCCACGCGGTTCATCATGTTGCGCGCTTGCCGCGCCTGGTTGCGCTGCTGGCGCGCGCTGTGCTGGGAGATTTGCTTGCTGTGCCTCATGAGTGGCCGATGTTTCAGTCAGCTCTGGACCGTGTGGAATAGCGGCCCTCAGAGGCCCCCAGGAAGCCTTCTCGATGCCCCAAGAGGCTCCGACACGGCCTTCCAGAGACCTCACGAGAGCTTCCAGGCGGCCCGCGAAAGGCCTCTCACGAGATCCCGACGAACCTGCAAGAGCCTCAAACCATGCCCAAGGAAGGGCACCCCAAAAGGAGCTGCCCGGGCATCACGCCACTCATACAAAGATACGGCTGACATACTTACTTGGAACCCCTGAGCTCATGCAAAAAGTACTCACCATCTGCTGCCTGGATACGATTTCCGTCATGGAAACGCGATGCCACACCCACGAAGGATGCCGCTTTTTCAAGCACCCCCCGAATCCCAACCAATCCTGAGATGCATCCGAAACTCTTCCGGCCCATCCCAGGCACGGTGGCGGGGTGGGCCGCAGGCTTCTCTAGTCTATATATATATATATATATATATGTATTTATATATATACACGTATATATATATATATATATATGTATGTATATATGTCTATATATATACACACACTGTAAGACTTGATGTAGACAAGCGTGCCTGCAAACAAAATATAGCTGCGTGATCGGTAACCGCCGAGGCCGGGATCTGGAGACGATCCGACACGTTCTGGAGCCAGGCGCAGTAAAGAGCTGCGCAATCACACCTTGAGGGCTCTTTGGTTTCGTCGGACTGCAGTCGTCGCGCTGCCACGAGGAACAGCAAATGAGGAACGCAGGGGCTTCTCTCGTCACGGCGAGCCTCGGCCACGAACAGATTCCACTACCGAAATATTTAGGGAACTGCCCCAAAGCCAGAGCCCCTGGTCGTGATTCCAGCGTCTTGACTGCATGGCTGTGGCCTTCTAGTCTCTGGCCTTCTGTCTTGACTGTATGGCTATGGCTGTGCTACAGGCAGGGTCACAACAGCGGGGCGCGATGGAGTCCAGGCGCACAGACAGACCGGCTGTAGCGGAGAAGGAACAGCAGCAGAGCACGAACACAAACACGTACATGCTCACTAGCCTCCACCTGCCCTTCAAGCTTTTGACAATCTCGCATTTCGAATTCCACCCGCCCTGCGCGAAGCTGGATCCTCCTCCACGACCACCTTGTTCATATCATTATCCTCTTCCATCCTCTCCCACTGTGGTCCTCCTCCTTCTTCTGCTTCTCCTCCTCCTTCTCCTCCTGACATTTGCTTCCTCCTAATCCCCCCTCGTCGTTGCCGTTCTCCTTCGCACCCCTCTTCCTCCTGCCCCTCCTCCTCAACTGATCCCCTGGAGGACGGAGAAGGTCCTCCAGAACCTGCACTTCCTCTTCCTCCTTTTCAACGTTGACCACACATGAATAATCGAGCTTGTTGCGCCGATTCTCCTTTTTGACGTTGATCAGACTTGAAGAAGCAAACTTGCTGCGTCGAAAACGTCGATCCTCCTCCTCCTCCTCCTCCTCCTCATGCTCCTCCTCTGCTGCATCACTCCGCCCACACTCGCTCCGCCCCTGACCTGGAGCGGTGTGAAGGGCGACTTCGCGACCTCGCCACCGTCATCCTTGCTGGCAACGGAAGGAGCAACAGCAGATTGCAAGAGGGACGGGGAGGAAGAGAGGATGGTGGGGGGGAGACACCTCTCTGTTTCTTCCAAGTAGGCCATATGCGGTTCGCACAACTCTACCCGCCTGTGTCAAGGAGAAAAAACCACACATCAAGAAATATCCCACTACCAGAATCGTCTTCACCTCGCCCCGCCCCATCGAAACTCATGCGGAAGTTGGTTTGGGCGGGTGCTTCTTTAGCTATGCGCATGTTGCCAAAGCCGATGGGCACCCCAAGACGGGCAATTAAGGACCACAACTTCCCAATATGTGGAGACATCCGACGATGTGATGTTACTTGAACGGTGGTCCCAAAAACTCCCGACCGCTGCCGCCGGGTATGTTTTCATCCCGGATGCGTGTTTGATCCGTCCCGAGGCCCAGAAATGGCCCCTGGAAGCCGAAATGGAAGAAAAGTGGGGATCGAAACCATGTATCCGCCGGGGGGCTGGTCCGATGGACAGGAAGAGCAACTACGCAAACATATGATTCCGCAGGTCCGCGCAGATTTCTCGGATCGGTGCTGGACCCCCACTCCCTGGCGCGCGGAACGCCCCAGGGGCGGCACTGCCAGGGGGGCCCATCGCAGATCCAAGAGATCCGCGCGGACCTCCGAAATTCATACTTATGTCACATGTCGGATGCAATTCTCCTCTTCCGTCGCCGTCTAGCACGCTCGCCGCTTCAACCAATCATCTCCGCTTCACCTCAGCGCCAACGCACCACTGACGTGCACGGCGTCTTGCTTGCTTGCGGATGCAGACATGCCCCCATCGGCGATCAATCGGTGGTCAGGGGTCCATGCATCCCCCCCTGAGTCTATCCCCCCTGTCGTTGCCCACTGGTCTTCCGGTCACAGCTCGGCTATCCGGCGGCTTTCGGGACGGTCTGGTCACCCCTGGAACGCTCCTGGAACGGCGCAGCTGCTGGAAGACGCCCCGAGGCTGGAAAACCGTCGAGAACCGCCGAACACGTCCGAGACAACGGAACCTCCCACCGCCCTCCGAGCCCAATGATGCCACCCCAGCGTTGCCCCCGACTGCAGGCAGGCGGGCCGCAGAGCTACGGGCGCCTCCACGCAGAGCGCGGGGGCGCCGTCGTGCTCGCTGCCCCTGCGCACGCAGCCGAGGCTGTGCGGTGCGCGGCGCGAGCGAGCGTTCGCGCGCGGCGAGGGTGGCGGCCTTGACCCCTAAGCTGGTCCTCCTCCTCCTCCTTCTCCTCCTCCTCCTCCCTCTGCCCTCCTCCCTCCTCCCTCCTCCTCCTCCTGCTCGCCTCTTCCTCCGCCCCAAGGCCTCCTCTCAATCTTCCTCCTGCCCCTCCTCCTCAACTGATCCCTTTTGAGGACGGAGGAGGTCCTCCTCAACCTGCACTTCCTCTTCCTCCTTTTTAACGTTGACCATACACGAATAATCGAGCTTGTTGCGCCGATTCTCCTTTTTGACGTTGATCAGACTTGAAGAACCGAGCTTGTTGCGTCGAAAACGTCGATCCTCCTACTCCTCCTCCTCCTCCTCCTCCTCCTCCTCCTCCTCCTCCCTCCTCCCTCCTCCCTCCTCCCTCCTCCCTCCTCCCTCCTCCCTCCTCCCTGCTCCCTCCTCCCTCCTCCCTCCTCCTCCTCCTGCTCGCCTCTTCCTCCTCCCCAAGGCCTCCGCGCGCGCATTTGCCGCACCAAGCCGGGGCCAGGCCGAGCGAGCCGAAAGGAGAGGCTGGGACCGAAGTGGCGTGACCCGGGCCCCTCGAAAGAATCGTACGAGCAGAGTCGCGAGTCGCGAGTCGACCGTCTGGGCACGAGGGGAGTGACGGGCAGCGATCGGTGGAGAGACTGGCTCAGGGGGGCGGGGCGTCGACATGTCATCGGCGGTACGTCGGCGGTAGGCCTCCGATGGGGGTGGGCTGCTGGGCCCAGCTCGGCTATCAATGGGCGATTGGGGGTCGGTGCGTGTCCCCTCAGCCTATCCCCCCCCCTTCCCGCTGCCCCTGAGCCAGGGCACGAAAGGGCTCGGATGCGCAAGAGGGCGGTGAGCAAGGATGACGATAGGAGCGGCAAGGGAGCAGGAGCATCGAAGAGGAGCGCAGCTGGACGACATCAATCAGAAAGGAAGAGGTTCCCCCTTGTCCTCATCCTCATCCCATTTGGCCTGCTCGTTCGGGTTCTCTTGCTTAGATCTTCCTTGGAAGCTGGCTGTGCTTTGTCGAGGACCTCTGGGGGGGGAATATTTTGTGCTTCTGGGGAGCGATTTGGGCGTCTCTTGGGGGCTCCGTCAGGAGTGGACAGCTCTTGGAGCCTCCTGGGCCATATGTGATCATTTGAAGCCTCCGGGGGCCCCGTGAAGCACTCTTGAGAGCTCCTTCTCGGACATTGGTTTGGGGGCTTCTTCGGACCCTTGGAGGCGTCTGGTGGGCCTTCTTGGCGCCATTCGGGTGCTCGTTCATTTTCCGGCAATGTCTTTGGGAATCTGTCCACTTTTTGTGCTTTTGGGCAGTGGCAGGGTCGTCTTGGTTGATCTGGAAATGCTGCTCCAGATGGACTCTTCGGAACGACTTCTTCCGAGAGCTCCCCTCTAAATAGGATGAAGAAAACTAGACTTCGTCGGAGGCCGAATTCATCCGAGACGACTTCATCCAGAGAAATCTATCCAAACGACTCCATCCAGGGGGCCCTCATCCGACACGAGTTCATCATGACGAACTCACCAAGGACGAATTCATTTGGGCGAACTTGTCTGTGCAAATTGTTCCGAAGACAATTCCATCCGGGCGATTTTATCAGATTTCTCATGGCGATTTCATCCTGCCGTGTCCGCCTTCCCGACCCGCCCGCTAGGGTCTGCCCGTCCGATCTGCCCGTATGGTTATGCCATGTGTTTTGTTTCTGCTCCTGGCCCCCTTCCTGCTAATCTCTCTCGGGCTCCATCCTGTTCCCTCCCCCTTCCATCCGTCTTCTCTTATCCTGTTTTAGGGGCACACATTACATGCGGCAGGTGAAGAAAATGAGCAGGGCGGGTGCCGAGGATTTGGGAGATACTTGTTGAATGGCACGTGATCGACGCGATCAAGTAAAAGCGAACAGCCGAAACTCAGCTTCTTGTTGTTGCTAATGCTGTTGCTGTTGCTGTTGTATAGTTGTTGTTGGTGATGTTGTTGTTGTTGTAATTGCTGGTGTTGTTATTTCGTTTTTGTTGTCGAATTCGACTTCTTGGATGATAATTGTTGTTGATTCCCCTCCGGTGCACATCGAGTTTTGTGCAATGAAAATGTACCTCCCCTGGCTCGCACCTTGATTTAAGATGGAAAACCCTTCCTCCTTAGATTGCGCACCTGGCCAGCGACCTTCAACAACAACGGCTTCGGCCTGATACTTCCTCACCATTTTGTTCCCACAATGTATGCAGGAATCGCGCTCTCGCGTGGGACTTCCTATCAATTGATTCAGACGCCGCGCCGTCGACACTCAAGAATCACGCTCTCGCTATGTATTCCCCCACGATGTATTTGGGAACCGCGCTATCGCTCGAGACCTCCTCGCGACATATACGCTTCCGCAGCCCGCCTGCTCGACCTGGCCGCCTGGGCACGCCTTCCCGACCCGCCCGCTAGGGTCTGCCCGCCCGATCTGCCCGTCTGGTTATACCACGTGTTTTCTGCTCTGGGCCCCCCCTGCTAACTGTTCTCGTGCTCCGTCCTTCTCCCGCCCCCTTTCATCCGTCGTCTGTTCCCTTCTTCTAGGGGTTGCGCTACATGATATTTGAGTGCAGTACATTCGCGTCCATAATGTTATATGGTAATGTGTTATATTAACCCATCTCGGTATTAGATGCAAACGAGTCTAAACATGTGTATACATATATACACGCTGTCACATGTAATCATGTGTGAGTAAATGCCTTTACACACATATATATATATATGGATATATATCTCTCGATATATATACATGTATATATATAGGGACACTGTGCTATGCCTCTAGGGGGAACGGGATAGGGCTGCATCTTTATACATCGACAGCGGGAGGAACCAAGCATATTTACACGAAGATATATAGAGAGAGAGTGTGAGAGAGAGAGAGAGAGAAAGCGAGACAAACACGACTGCGCATTACATATATATATATATATATCATATGTACACGCTACTATGCACGTATGGGGGGAGGATAGGGATACATCCTTTTATATATATATATATAACGGATATCGCACAATACGTGGCGATATACCAAGATACAGAGATAGAGAGAGAGAGAGAGAGAATCAGCGACATGATGTGTTTTTGGAAATATGCACGTCAATACAAGGGCAGGCCTGCAACACCTAATAGAAATGTCATGCATGCACGAGTTGTGTACCTATGCATCTCTCTCTATATATAATGCCAGCTGAACATCAGTGGATCAACATATATGAGAAAATTCAGAAGATGAAAGTCGTTATCATTCTGAGTAGTGGTTGAGAAGAGAACGCAGAGAGATAGAGAGAGAGAGAGAGCGAAAGAGACATACAATCAGAAGAGGGATGAGGAGCAAGGGGAAATAATACAGGATGGATGAGTTCGGCTGCAACTGCTGCTGAGGCTGTTGATCCGCCACCGTGCCCTCCACAAGCTGGAGCGTGCCCACATGAACACTTATAAAGCCAGCCCTATCCAGATCGCGCAGGGTCGGAACACCGCACTCCCTTGTTTTGCTCTCCAGCGCCCTTTTCTGAATCCAGGCGGCTCCGAGACAGCCAAAGACCAACCCAGCCCGCTGCGAGACGCCCCAAGTCAATCCAAAGACGGCAGACCGAGCCCAGGCAGGCTCCGATTCGCCCCAAGAGGCTCCCAGAAGCTTCCAAAGTGAGAGGCAACGAGCATATGAGAACCTGCGGAAACTCCACGCTTGCTGCTTCCTAAACTTATCGGCTTCGGATCACCTGTGGAAAACTCAGGAGAAACCCCAGGAAACTCCCAACACTGCCCAAAACTGTCCCAAGCGGGGCCGGGACAGCCGCGCGGCTGCCCGAGCACCTCCCCCAATACCGCCCAAGCTGGCCCCGAGACGGCCCCCGCATCAACCTAAACGTCCCCAAAGTTGTTCAGCCGAGCCTTCTGGGAGAGCCAGCAACGCGCCCAATACTGCCCCGAGAACCCCGGGCCTGCCAAAAGATCCCAAAAGGCCCAAATGAACCCCCCAAGCAGCCTCCACGATGCAAGCATCGGCGGAGCCAGGAAGAAAGAGGCAAACGAGGCTGCCAACATGAAGCGGACGCTCGGGACCAGCGCCAGTTCAAAGCATTGAGCTGGAGCGAGCCTCGAACTTCACATTGTGAAATTACGGAGTGGATCACGGGACGTGACTGATACCCCCTTTCAGAGGAGAGCGAGTGGAGACAACGGCAGTGCAAGATCGGTCGCCCGACCCCGCACGGGATCCAAACGCAGCAGGCGTGGCGACGAGCTCCCCCGAAGGCCAAATGTCGTTGCCTCAACTCGCCCTCTTCTGATCCGTTCCCCCTCGCCACCGCCAATGAATCACGGCATGCACTTGCGCCCCGATCGGAAAGCAAACCACTAATCGTTCGACAAGGTTCCAAGCGATGCCGCCGGGCAAGCTGAGGCTGCTGGTGCGATCTGTTCTCTCCCTGGCTCCACTCCGTTGCCGCACTGGCGCGGCGGCGGGGACTACTGCATGCAGGTGGGCACGAAGACGAGAGTTTTACCATTCAAGTAAAGTAAGAGATCGGCTACAAACTATGTTGACTCCCAAATAATTGTATTTTTTTGCCGAATCAGAAGAACTCATACCATGCTCAGTAGTTCTACTCACATTGTACGTATTTTCGCAGATTCGACGAGCAATCACAAAAACAAATAGGTCCAGGACAGGTTTCGACGCTGTCTGGCCCCCATGGGCCTCTTTGGGCCCAGGCCCCACCCCTGTGTTTGCGGGAAAGGCCAGCTGGTCTCCGAGACGCTCCGCCGCCTTCCGACAAGGCCTTCTCCTTCTCGCTCCCCCCCCCTCGCTCGCCGCCGAGCGGAGGAGGACAGGGAGGAGCCAGCATTGCGCCAGACCTAGCCCCGTCCCTGGTGGACCAGGGATCCTTGGTGCCCCCAAGCCGGGGTTAGATGCCGCAGAACCAGATGCCGCAGAACCAGACGGGGGCGGCATCTACTCTTAGGTCAGGCATGTTCTCCTGCAGGCAGACTTTGAAGGAAGAATGAAGAATAGTCAAACTATACTCAACAATAATCAACAAATGCTCGAATAATCGTCCCCAGGCTATTGTTTGATCATCTTAGAGTATTCCTCCTGCAGAGGGGCATGCCCGACTTAAATCTTCCCCCACCCAGGATACCAAGCACGTCGGTCAGCGGGGCCAAGGCTTCCCCACTGGAGATGGGCGCAGGTGCGAAGATGCTCACCAGACATACAGTGGAGGCCAGTCCACAAGAAACCTTCCACAAGAAACCCAACCCTGAGACCCCAGGACGTTCATGGATTTTTGGTGTGGGATCCTCATGCTCTCCATTGCAAAGCCATCGAGGCCAAAGCAACGCGGGGCACGCTGGAGGCAAGCAGGGTGTTTCTTGGCGTTGGCTTCGACTGTATCGCGAGCATGTCTGGGGCAGTTGGGGCGCATCTTGTTACTCCCAGGACGCCTCCTGGGGTGCATTCAGACCAGAATCTCGAGGAGAGTCCAGCCGTGGCGACGAGAGCTCTCCAGGACGAGCACCGGTACAGGTACTGGTGGCGGTATCGGCAACCTTCCGTGTCCGGGCCAGGGAGGGGCACAACAGGACGCCCGCCTGCGCCGATCCGCGTCCGGCTTCCACGCAACGTCGCCTCGCCAAGCTCGGCCTGGCCAGGCTGGCGCGCGCGCGCGCGCCAGCGCAGGGCGAGCGGCGCACCGTCGGAGGGGCGGCAGTGGGCCAACGCCGCAGAGAGGAAGCGTGCGGGAAGCTTTTGCGAGGCCTCCTAGATGGGGTCCGAGTAATCAGATGGAGTCGGACGATCGCGCCGCATCGCCGATACATCGACGACGCATCGGCGACGTCGGCGGTGCATCGGCGACGCCAGCGCGGAGAACATCGGGCTCTACATCGAGCCGCATCGCCGATGCATCGGCGATTCGGCGCGATCCTCCAACCCTATCAACTCCGACCCCATCTGAGCGACGATCAAAAGCGGGTCTTAGGTGAGACGACATAACGACATTACGCGGTGGCTTACGCGGGCCGCCCGCGCGGCACGCCACACTCTAAGTGAGGGAACGTACATACGCACGACCCTGCGCGGCCAGCTTACGCGCCGATGTCGGCGCAGACGATCCCTTTTTTCTTTCGTCCCTCATCTGGGAGGCCAACATGTGGGAACCTTTTTGGCAGGGCCAAGACCACCCCGAACGCACGAGCGGCGGCAGCATCCAGATCCACGCCTTCGCGGGCCCTGAGGTGCCGAAAAGAGGTACCCACGACTGCCCAGAGAGGTCCCCAAGACGGCCTCCTAGGCCAATAGGTCCATCAGAGGCCCCCGCGCGTCGGCTCATGCTGGCGGGGCCCGCACGTGTGCCCGATGCGATCGCGGGTGGGGAGGGCGAGGAAGAGGAGGACGAGGAGGGGGCGTAGAGAACTCACAGGTGGCCAGCAGAAAGCCCCGATGCCGAAGCAGAGGGGCAAGGAGCCGGGGAGGGCAGGGGGAGAAAGGGGAGGACGAGGAGGAGGGGGCAGAGAGAACTCGCAGAGGGCCAGCAGAAAGCCCCGACGCCGAAGAGGAGGATCCGGGAGCCACGAGCGGGAGGCGAGCAGGCCGACTGCCTGACGCACGAGGCGAGCAGGCTTTGCAATCACAAGGAGCGACGGCCGAGCGGAGGCGCGAGCCCAGGCCCGCCACTGCTGCCAGCACACCAACCGCTCTGGCCCTGGGCCGGCAGGAAAGCCGGGCGCAGCGCCACCCGACCTGTTTGTGCTCATCACTGGGTCGCGCCAGGGGGGCAGGCGGCGCCGTCCGAGCACTACCCCCGCCGACCACCGATTCTCCTGAATCGATGGGGGGCGGGGTAGGTTTCGGATTTCGCCACGTGCGCGGCGAATTTCGAACCCTACCCCCGCGGCCCCTTGGGCTCGGATTCCGCCGCTGAAGGGGGCATGGCAAGGGCGGAGTTGGAGAATCGGCCCTCACGTAGCTGCTTCTGCCGGCGCCGCGTGGCGCAGGCGCCCGGGGCGCCGCGCCCAATGCATCGAGGAGTGCGCTAGGCGGCGGGGCCGAAACCGGCTGCATGCGGCAGGTTTCGTACCATCCCCTTCTCCCCTGACCTTCCAGAGTGCCAGACGATAGCTTTCCAAATATATAAGTTTATCTGAGCTGCCAAGAAAACCCCGACTGGAATTTAGACGTCGAGGTCCTAGTGCTACCTCTTGGCATTCCTGGAAGATGGGGGTCCCTGCCTCCGTCCGACCTGGCAGTGCACGGGGGCGTTGGTCGATGCAGCAACATGGCGCTCGCTCGCCGGCCGCTCTACCACTGTATACTGCCTCTTAGCCTGCACCCTCCTGCGCGCTGCCGAGGCACTCGCTAGTGGCTACAGCCATCGTGCTACCATGGCAACCGGTTTCCTTATTCGGCGTGTCGACATTAGGCTGAAGGGGGGTGGGGAGGAGGGGGGCCTGTCTCCGGACCGCTGCCTGGTGCGACTGTCTGCAACAGTGCGTCCGATGGGGGAGACCCCACCTGCTCGAAACAGGCGCCAAAAACAGCTAAGATCCACTCCATTGGTGGGGGGAGGGGGGGGGGTGCGATGGCCCGCGCCGATCGGCAAAACAATGAATAAAACGAGCACATGAGGAACGCTGAAGAGCGAATGGAGCTTATCCTGGCTTCGGCGAGCCTCGACCACGAACAAACTCCACGACCCACGCGTCGGAGGAACGGTCCGCACCAGCCCGCAAACCACGGCCCCTCCTGAGCGCAGAGTGGTTCTTGCCTCAGCGTCTGTACCGTCTCGGCGGGGCGCCGCGGGGTCCCGTCGGGGGCGGGAGGGCCCGCGGCCGGCGAGCTCCAGCGCCCACGCTCGACGGAAGGCGGATGCCCAGCACCCCTGCTGCTGTCGACCCGCACGCCGGGGCGTCCGCCGCTGCCGCGCCCCCCCAAAAGAGACACACGGGCGCGCAGGGCCGAGGGGAAGGGACGGATGCGAGGCGGGGCGGGGGGGGGGGACGGCAGCGGGCAACGGCGTGCGACGAAGGTCGGCCTCGGTACTGACCTGCGCGTGCCGCGGGCGCACAGGGCACGGCCCCCCCAGTCCGCGAGGCGAGCCGCGTGATACGAAGTTTCGCGCAATGCGTGCTTTCGAAACCCACGTGGATTCATGCACGTGTGCGCAATCGCCGAACATCTGCAGGTTCGAAACACATTATGTCTGAGGGGCAACAACAGCGGGGTACCTGCTCAGGGGATTCAGGGGGGGTAAACATCGACCAGGTATCGCCCGATATATCGGCGATAGGCCCCCGATAGCGAAACGCCACGTGGCTGGGCGGGGTGGGCTATCGGATGAGCGACTGGTGGTCGATGCGTCCGCCCCTGAGCCTATTCCCAACTTATAACGTTGCCCTGAGACCGGGGCCCAGAGGCCGAAATCGTGGAAATCGCTGGGATTGCTACACAATATCGTCGGAACTCTGAGTTGTTCTCGGGGGCCCAATTTTCATCCCGAGTAGATGTTGGACGGTCCCGAAGCTCGGTTTGGGGCCCGCTGAGGCCGAACATAACGAATGACCTCCCGCCATGACTTGTCACGACGCGAGGGGGTCTGGGAAGGGAGGGCGATGAGGAGCTGCTGGTGCCTCCCCCGCCCGCCACTCACAAGAGGGGGGCCTTCGAAGGCCGCGTAGCAGTCGTGGAGGGGCAGGCCCTTCAGCTTGCGGCCGGCCCTCGCGGGGGCGGTTCGGCGGTAGCGCGGCGTGGCGCGGGCGGCCTCGGCGACGCCGCGGGCAAGCATGGGCGCCGCCGGCCTTGACTTCGGATCCGCCGCTCTCCTTGGCTGATTTTCCGACTTCAATGTGTGTCGGAGTGGCCTCAACTTCAACCGAAGGCCCATGCCATGAAAACGCCACGGCGTGTGTGTGGAGGGGGTCTGGGTCCGTCCCGTCCCTTCCCCCCCCCTCCCTGGCCCCGCATCCCTTCCTCCCCCTGGCCCTGCACTCTGTATGTCTCTTGCGTGGTAGGCTCGCAAAAGAAATGTGCAATAATTCCTCCTGTGGCTGATGCCGCGTGGTCTCACAGACCAAACATGCCAAACGCAACGCGTCCTGCCCGCATCCAGCACGATCCAGCACGAACGATTGCACGGACTATGGCGTACACTTTTGAGACAGGCTGAGGCTGCTAGGCCCAAGGGCCCGCCTCGCGCACCCTGCGTGATCATCGCCGCCGCCAGGCCCAGAGTTTGCCGGTGCTCCCTGGGGATCCCGCCTCGCGTCTTCGACGAATGACTCGGGGGCGTTTAAAAGGGGGGCGTCCTGGAGGGGGAATCGCAAATCCAGGCCCGCGGCATGTGCGCGGAGAAGGGGTGAGCAAGAGAATGCATTGAAACAAAAAGAGAGGGACATGACATCATTACGTGGCGCTGAAGACTGTTCAACCCTATCGATTAGCTACTTATTCGGTGTTTTTTTTTCTGGTAATCCCAAGGTCACCGTGGAATTACCCAAGAATCTCAATACGTTCTGCAACACGACTACATGAAATATTATTATTCGGGGGCCGGCCTGGGGCTTGAAATTACAGGGTAACCTTGGAATTGCCAACGAAGAATAAATACTTAAACAATATATGTTAGCGTGCGCGGCCCTGCTGCTTCAGCAAAGAGGGCGAATTTGAATCAGGGGTGGCGCGCAACGTCAATTATTCTTGGCAGGGCGGGCGGCAACGACGATATGGGATTCCTAAGGATTCCCGAAAAGGATCCCCAAGGGTCCCCAAAGGATTCCTAAGGAGGGATTCCTGAGGGTCCACGAAGGATTCCTACGGATTCCCTCCGGATTCCTGTGGGTTCCCTGGGGGGTCAGAAAGATTCCCTCAGGATTCCTACATATTCCCTGTGGATTCCATAGGATTCTTGAAGATTCCCTCGGGGTTCCTAGGGATCCCCAACGGATTCCTAAGGATTGCCAAAGGTTTCCCTCGGGATTCCGACGGATTCCTTGTGGATTCCTAAGGATTCAATGGGAGACCAATGGATTTCCGAGGATTCCCTGAGATTTTCCCAAACGAATTCCTGAAAGATTTCAAAGGATTTGCAAGGGCTTCAAAGGATTTCAAAGAATTCCCCAGGGATTCCTGAAGATTCCCTTCCGGATTCCTTAGGATTCCCGAAACACCCTTGAAGATTCCATTGGATATCCCATGGATTCTCCGGGATTCCCGAAAGATTCGTAAGGATTCCCGAGGGATTCCCCTGGATTCCAAAATCGATTCCCGGAGGATTCCTAGGGGTTCCTACGGATACCCTCGGGATTCCTGAAGATCCTGAAGGGATTCCCAAGGATGCAGTAGGGATTCCTAAGGCTTCCCGATGGATACTTAAGGACCCCCGAAGAATTCTAAAAGATTCCCGGTGGATTCGCAAGGATTCCCTGAGGATTCTGTAAGACTTCCTTGCGAATATTAAGGGTTACCTAGGGATGTCTCGGGATTCCCAAGGGGGTTCTCAGGATTCCCTAGGGATTCCAAAAGATTCTTTGATGATTCTTGAGGATGCGCTAAACAATCGTAAGGATCCCCGACGGATGCCTGAGGATTCCCACAAGAATTCCTGAGGATTCCCCAGGGATTCCCCAGGGATTCCAAATGATTCCCTGGGGAGTTTGAAGGATTCTCTGAGGGTTCCCACGGATTCCCTGAGGATCCTTAAGAATTTCCCAAGGATGCCTCAGGATCCCCTAAGGATTCCTGAGGATTCCCTGGGGTTCCTGAAGACTCCCTCGCTTCCAGGCGAAGCGACGTCGCCAACATGGGGCCATACAGTGTGAAACAACACGCGGGTGACACGCGTCACCACAAAAACCATGTGAGAAAAGAACAACTGTTTCGCTCGTGTTCTGGACGCCAGCATGGGGCCGTACACTGTGAAACGACACGCGGGTGACACGTGTCACCACGAACACCGTGTGAGAAAAACAAATTGTTGCACCCGTGTTCTGAACGCCAGCATGAGACCACACAATGTGAAACAACACGCGGGTGACACGCGTCACCCCGAAAAACGTTTGAGAAGAACCAATTGTTCCACTCGTGTTCTGGACGCCGACATGGGCCCAACAACTGTGAAACAACACGAAGGTGTCACGAGCCACCCTGAAAACCGTGTGTGTGTGTGTGTGTGTGTGTGTGGGGGGCAACAAAGCAATTGTTCCACTCACATTGTGGACGCCAACATGGGGCCATCCAATGTGAAACAGCACGCGGGTGACACGTGTCACCCTGAAAACCATGTGAGAACAAAAAAACAACTGTTTCACTCGTATTCTGGACGCCCGCATCGGGCCATGCAATGTGAAGCAACGCGCGGGAGACACGTGTCACCCCGAAAACCGTGTGAGAAAAAACAATTGTTCCATTCGCATTCTGGTTGCTAAAATGGGGCCACACAATGTGAATCAATGCGCGGATGACACGTGCCACCCCGAAAACCGCGTGAGAACAACCAATTGTTCCACTCGTGTTCTGGACGCCAACGCGACGCCCATCCATTTGAAACAACACATGAATGGCACGTGTCACCCCGAAAACCGTGTGAGAAACAAAAATGCTGCCTCACTCGTATCCTGGTCGCCAACACGGGGCCGCATAATAGAAACACCACGCGGGTGACACGTGCCACCCCGAAAACCGTGAAAAAACTGATTCACCCGTGTTCCGGTCGCCACCTTGTGCCATAGAGTGTGACACAACATGCGGGGGAAACGCATCACACCGAAAACAGTGTGAGTACGAACATCTGTTCCACTCATATTGTGGTCGCCAACATGGGTCCACACAATGTGAAACAACACGCGGGTGATACGCGCTACCCTGAAAACTGTGGGGCAAACAATTGCCTCACTCGTATTCTGGACGCCAACCTGGGGACACGTGATACAACACGCGGGAGACACGTGTCACCCCGACAAACGTATGAAGAAACAACCCTTGTCTCACTCGTATTCTGGTCGCCAACATTGGCCCATACAATGCGGAACAACACGCGGGTGACACGCGTCACCCCGAACACCGTGTGAAAAAAACAACAACTGTTACACTCGTAGTCTGGTCGCCATTATGGGGCAGCACAATGTGAAACAACACGCGGGTGACACGCGTCACCCCGAAAACCGTGTGAGAAAAAAACAGTTGTGTCACCCGTATTCTGGGCGCCAACATGGGGCCATTCAATGTGACACGACACGCGGGTGACACGTGTCACCCTGAAAGCCGTGTGAGAAAAACCAATTGCCGCAATCGTATTTTGGACGCCAACATGGGGCCATACAGTGTGGAACAACGCACGGGTGACACGTGTCACTCGAAAACCATGTGTGCAAAAGAAACCACTGTTTCACTTGTAAGTTGGTGGCCAACATGGGGCCACGCAGTGTGGAACAACACGCGGGAGACAGGTGGGACCCCGAATACCGTGTAAGAAAAACAAATTGTCACCTGTATTCTGGGCGCCAACATGGGGCTGTACAGTGTGAATCAACACGGATGACACTTGTCACCCCAAAAACCGTGTGAAACAATGATAACTGTTTCGCTCGTGTTCTGGTCGCCAACGTGGGGCCACAATGTGAAACAACACGCGGGTGACACGTGCCACCCCGAAAACTGCGAGAGACAAAACATCCGTATCGATCGTATTTTGGGCGCCGGTATGGGGCCAGACAATGTGAAACAACACGCGGGTGGCACGAATCACCCCGAAAACCGTGTGAGAAAAACCAATATTGCCTCACTCGTATTGTGGACGCCGACATGGGGCCATACAGTGTGAAACGACGCGCGGGTGACGCGCGTCACCCTGGAAACCGTGTGACAAAAGCCAATTGTGTTACTCGTATTCTGGTCGATGCGCTTGGTCGTGGCAATGACGACGACGACGACGCCGCGCTGCCGATGCACCATGGGGGGGTGGGCGGGTGCTGCGTGGACCCGCCGTAGCAACGATGCGACGGCGACGACGACGACGAACGCCGCCTGCGGGTGCACCGCAGGGGGAGGGGGGGCGCCGTGTGGGCCGTAGCATTGACGCGCGTCGACGACGACGACGACAGACGACGACGAACAACGACGAAACAACAACATGTCCAGCTGTTGGGATAGGGCGCGCAGCTAGGAGGGTCTGGGACGTGCTAGAAGCTGGGCCGATTGGGAGTAGGCGGGAGGAATCTGGGGGGGCGGGGGGGGGGAAGAACTGGGAGGAGGAGGAGGAGGAGGAGGAGGAGGAGGAGGAGGAGGAGGAGGGAGGAGGAGGAGGAGGAAGGAGGAAGGAGGAAGGAGGAGGAGGAACAAAACAAATCGGAAGTAGCACGCGGTACGAGGAGATGGGAGGACGTCGGAAGAGGTGTTGGGACCTTGGAAGACTTGAGGGGGGGGGGCGGGGGGACGTTGGAAGAGCACCGCTGCTGTAAACTTTGCAACGCATGCACAGGAACAGGTGACTGTTGTCACTGCAAGGAAAAACGATGACACGGTGGCCGAGCCTGGGGAGCTCGTCCCGATCCAATCTTGAACGGCCGCGACAGTCTCCAGACACAGGCGGAGCCGAGGACCTGGACCCGAAGAGACACACTCTACACTGCCAAAGCGAGCCCACACCGATCCACGTGTGGGAGACTTGCAAAGAAGGCGGCTTCTCGACAGGGGGTGGCTGCACCCTCGGCGCCCCTCGAAA